TTTTGAGGTATTAAATACCGGTTGGCCCATGTAGCTCCTATAGAGGATCACCGAAGTCAAACCCTGGAAGGGCAGAAGGCTTATCTTATCTAGCTGCTGGTGAGCACTGGGTCTTTTTTCTCTCACTTTATGAATCCCCAAGCGACTTGAATTAGACCAGCAATTGTTGTCACGATTTCACAAAGGAGTACCAAGATGTTGTGGTTGCAGGAATACTCACCACTATTCTGTTGCACCCAGTTTCAGTTTTGTTCCATGTCTCTTTCACAAAGGCACCTCTGACACGGATCACCCCAAACCCCAAAGCGGATCCTCTGGCCTGTCTGCTGCAGCTCACAAACAATGTTCAAAAGAATAATTACAACAGCAAATTGTCACGTCGTTGCTCTTGAGTGTTCCATGCATTACCATCCGGGATGGTCCACCCTTCACTTGCGACACCACTCTGCCGATCACCGGGATGACCGGACTGCACGACCGACCAAACCGCGCCCGCGCCCCGAAGGACGTGCACCAACCCCGCGCGACCTTGCGCAGACCACTCCGAGTGGCCATGACCAGGCCAATGAGCTCGGCCAGAGCACCATACTTCTCCGAGTGGAAACGGTCCAGCCAGAGACACGCCACCTCGAGTCTGGGACGTGCGTGCCGGGGCATCGGCAGGCTTTATCACATCCGTCAATCCAATCTCCGACATTATCGGACGCATCCTTGGCTTTCAAGAGTTCGGACCCACCAATGTCATGCATCTGTGGACAACTCTTGGGACCCACCGAAAAGACTGCGCCATCTTATCGATCTCTCCCCCAGCGCCGGTGCCTTCTTGAGATCCGGCTGGCGGGCGCGCAACGCCCGCACCAAGGGCGCCTTGCCTGTTGGGCCACCACCCGGCAAGCGGCTCCTGGGAGGACGGATGGCGGAACCTTGGGGCCCGACACCCAAAACGCGTTTGGGGTCTGACCATCTCCACCGAAACACAAGGGGGACAACGGACCCGGTCCCCAAGACCTTCCCCAAGACCTTCCCATTTGGTTCGGGCCTGGATTCTGAGGGTGGAACCAGATGTTGGGGATCCCATTTCCTCCGAGAGAGGTCCTCAAGTGTTGAGAATGGCATGGTATCTGGTACCCCTCGCAAATCTTGCTACCTTCGAAGCTCTCAGCCAGGGGGCGGCATTTCAATCTCAGCCTCCTCGGCCATGTTGCCTTCGAAGTCAGGAGCAATGGTCCGAAGCAAGGCCTTTGGGGTATCGCTTTCTGCTGATTCTCTCAGAACCTGTCAGCCTCTTGTCCACTTCTTGGGGGTTGGCTCCATGGCCCGCGTTTAAGAAGGATGGTTACTGGGATGAATCTCGAATGGAAAGTTCATGGCTGTGAAGGTTCACCCCTGAACATCCTCCAAAATCCACTTTGGATGCCTTTGGTAGAGAAGAAAGGATGAAAACTAACAAGCATTAACAAGCTAGTTTCCATCATCTGCAAAGTAGTTTCAGATAGGATTCAACATGTTCCGGCCCCTTTTCCCTCCTTTTCCCTTCCAACGCGGCCTGTGAATTCGCTGGGCTGTTTGGATCGTCTTCGGTCAAGAGAGCCCCAGCTTCGAGAGAGGCACAAAAGGCTCAAAAGCGAATGGCATCCAATCGGACCATACCCAAGAAAACCATTGAAAAACCTTAAACTGCATGTAGTTCGAGTGTGTCCTCTTCTTGAAATTCAAGACTATGTAGACACCACGGTAATGTTCTGTGCTGACGTTCATAACCAATGGTCGTCAAGCTGCAGCAGTGTATTCTGTATAAGTATAGGCATTATAGACAAGAGTCAAAGCGGCCCAATCTGCTGCGATGGACCATACACGTCATACACTGCCACAAGAGTTCATGAACCTGCATCTCCCAAAGAAGAAACAGAACCCCCCATCCAGGCGCCATCCAGGCGCACCAAACTCCTCCACTCCTCCCTCTCTCAGCTCCAAACTCCCTTAGCTTGGAGCTGCTGTGGATGCGCCGCAGGGAACCTCGGTCGAACGAGCGGTGGTGCGCCGAACGTGGTGTTTCACGTTTCGTGGGGTGGCTTGTTAGAAGCCGTTTCTTCTAAGGATTTGTCACAAAGGAAGAAAGGAAGCAAAAGATACCGCTTCACAAAAAGACCGCTTCAAAAAGAGTTGTGTAAGGCACAAGATGTGAAGGTGAAAGTGGTAGAGGTTCCCAAACCTCATGCAAACTCTGATGCGTTTCGGAACATCCAAGACTCATGGAACAGGAGTCCCAACACCGTACACCCGTTTTTTGCTGCTAGACACACCGCGTGCGAGCTCGACGCCATTTCTTCCACACTTTCCACAAACTGCTTCGCGTTGAAAGCTAGGTTGGTGCCGCGTGAGTTCTGCTTGCAAGGCTTGCAATTCTTCTTGAGCCGCCCGTGGGGGCATCCAGCACCTTGGCCACCAAACAACCTAATACAAGGTGTGTATATATATAAGATTATATAAGTATGTACTGCAAGTACTCCCCGGGTTTCGATTGTTCATGGCACGATGTGACCCTCACCGACATCAGTGTGCTCACTGCTTTCAGGAACAAAAGTCTTGCACAGAGACACAAAGAGATTTGGAACAAGCCTTTTTGAGAGGCCTCAAGAGTTGGCTGCAGTGAATCCACAGTGAATCGTCGAATGATTCATTTCAAGAACAAACAAAGAATGCAGTGAAAAATCTCCGGAGCGAAACCAAGCCGCAAATAGAACAGTTATATTTGAGCTTCCCATGTCCGCAGTCTTTGCACTTGGCACAATGGCTCTTGATCTTTCCATGAGGACATGGAACGCATCGCACGCATCCTCGTCTGAGCTTTCCATGAGGACAAGCACTGCAAAGGTTGCAATTGCTCTTGCGATGACCATGGGGGCAACCGTTGCAAATATGACATGACGGCCCTGCCCTCCCATGGGGACACGCATTGCATTCAGCACATTCATTCTTCCAGCGGCCATGGGGGCACCCCACACATGTCCTGCACTTGTTCTTGGCACGTCCATGAGGACAACCACTGCATACTTTGCACAGCTCTCGGGCATTTCCATGTGGACATGCGTTGCAAAGGGGGCACTTGCCATAGCTCTTTCCATGTTTACACTTGCGCAGTTTGGGATGGCCACTGAGAGCTCGCTTCCGCGCTTTCAAATCTTTGGAGCTCGAAGCTAAAACAGAAGCATCATCACGTTCGATGCAAACATAGGAGCGCAACCGCAACCACTGTTTGCGGGACATGATCGCTTGGTCATTGCAGACATCAAGCTTTGTCAACAGCTCCCTCAAATATTGCAGGATGGTATCAACTTTAGCATCAGATTGATCCAGATGGGCCAGGCATTCGATCACAATGCGCCGAAGTCGAACTTGAATGTCGCCTTGGTTTCCCAATGAAAACTCAACCCAAATCCGTGGGGCAAACAGGGCTTGTGGCTTCATGTGCTTGAGGTCGGGTAAGCGGTGACGGTGAGTGCATGGACCGGCCAAAGACATCTAGAACTCACACATGCGACTCAGAACTCACGCAATACTGAGACGGCACCTGCGGTGGCACCCTTTCACCTTTGCAGCTACAACTACAACCTACCACCGCTCGGCCGCCTTATTCGTCCAAAGGGCATCAACCACCACTACACCGAAAACAGCGCTTTGAGCGAACGACAGGCCCCCCAAAACCAGCAACGATCCCCGGAGACTCGACTCAACCTGCCCGTCTGCCCTTTTTCTTCGGGCGCACGTGAGCTGAGCCATTGCAACCACGGATGGTCTACAATGCATGGATGCTCCAGCAAGTCATCGTACATCCTCCGTAAGGATTTCCTTTCCTGGTGGTCCAACACCATGAAGCTTGTGAGATCGACTTCTTTTCCTGAAATCACAGGTGTGGGGGGGCGATGCTCGCTGAACACCGGGGACTTGCCCAAGAATTACAAGGTCTAATAGTAAACGCTGGCCAAACAGTTTTGTTTCGTGCCTTCACACCGCATCAAAAGCAAGATTGATTAAAAAACACGTGAAAACCACTCAAAATCCAAAATGTTTGCCTCCTAGGGGTCATCGCTGCGTCAATCCCGCATCTGTCACTTCAACCAACCACAATAACACAGCAGCTGCTTGTTCACACCAAGATTCCCCTCACGAAGCCCTGTGCCGCTTCGGCTTCCGCGCCACGCAGTACCATAGCCTTTTGACGATCCGAGGACACCAGCACCAGTGCTTCAAAGCTTCGACGACAGGTGCTGGGCAGCAGCAACGCCGGCGCCCTCGCGGATCCGGATCCGTCGACGTCGAAGGGGCCCACGGGACGGAGGAAGGTCCGTAAGGCATGGTGGCGATAGGGATCTAAGAGATCCACATTGATGCCTTGCTTCATGCGAAAAATGATAAGAAAAATGCATGGCTAGGTCATATATATATATATATATGGTTCTATTGCATAGATTGGTCCGTGGTTCGTAGAGAACCAAACCAAAAAATATTGCCACAATGTTCTTGCAGTTTGAGTTGGATTTGCCCTTCCAAGTAGCGAAACAGGAAAAGCATCTGACTGAAATCGCCAACCAGATGCCATAACAAGTGCTGTTACCCAGCAAGTCACCATAGTTCAGAGCCGGTTCCAACACCAGTGGAACTGCATTAGGTTTGTACTGCAACCACCAGAAGTAGACCCCATTGAAGCCATCGCGCATCACTTGGATCTGCATGCCATGTTCCTGTCGCAAGTATTCCACCCAGCTGATGAACCAGAGCTGCTCCTGTTGTTCGGAGGGCACGTATTCCACACCAGCGTCCTCAGCGGAGTGGATCAGTCCAACTGGATCCCCCGGAAAAAAAAGAAGATACAGAACCCCCTTCCGGTCATCTACACAGAACAACCTCGAAGTTCCCACCCCGCTGACCGGACAGGTATGGACAGGTGAGGCTCATCTTTCTCAGGGATCTCCTGTTTGGAATCCAGCAAGAATGGAAGGGAGCTGATCAACATGCAGCCACCCAGCTCGAGCCACGAATTGTAGAGCGCCGCCAGCGTTCCGACAGGATCTGCCAGCCAACAAAATGTGACCCAACTCACGATCAGGTCCTTAGGATCATTTCGCCCATGATGCTGGTGCTGGTGGACGCTTTTGGAGGGCTTACCAACCACTACACTGTACACAGCAGCTCTCTTCCATGATTGTTGACATTCCTTCATATATCATATTGACCAATACTTGCTCTTCTCAAACAGTTGACGGATCCAGGTGGGGAAACAGCTGAAACCAATCACCAGCAATGCTTTCAGGTCTACTTGAGGAAGACCATGCCCGTCTACTCAAACCCAAACCACCACATCATCACATCCTCACCAGTGTGGTACCTTTGCTTCGGGGCGTCCAGCAGTACCTTTCTCACAAGAATAGGCTCAAAAAACACGCCACCAATGTTAGACCCATCTTCCCATCAAGTGAAGCATCGAATTTTCCGCCTTGCAGCATCTGCAGCCCCTCTTCACTACGAACCAACTGCTCCACATTGCCCACCCAGTAGGATGATACAGGACAGCCTGGATCAAAGGGAAGTTCGTCCTCCAAAAGCTTCTGGTTTCGCATATCTTCGGCTGAAATGCCCAACCTGAAATCAGAGATGTCACAGAAAAGCTTGGATAGGCAAGCTTGTGTGCACCAAACAGAAGACAAAAGAAACAAAGCTTTCCAGGGTAACAGAGCAGCAGATTGCACCAGGGGTAGCCCCTGGAGTGCAAATATGCTAATGTCTTCCCATCACCAGTGCCCACATCCAAAACACGCAGCTTCTGACGTGTTTCTTCTATGGAGCCGTCCCGTGATGATTCCATGATATCCAAGATTTGACTCAGCGTGAGCCACTTCTCCCGGTGATAGTTCTGACACTGCTGCTGAAATGCAACTTTGTCCGATGCCGTGCCATTGACCTTGGGGATCTCCCCTTGATCTTCTAATCCAAAACCGTCCAGTGCTGATTCGCCAGCTTCATCGGCCGCTTGGGTGGAGACTAAACTTCCAACTTCCACCTCGTGGCGAACCCCTTCCTACCACGGAAATGGAAGACGGGAGGTGGAATTATCGTCCCAACCCCCCCAAAAAAGGCTCCAAAATCAGTTGAACTGCCACCCCGACACATACATGAATTCTGACTTGCTTGCACTTCTCCAGGTGTTGACATCCATCTGATAGTCGAAGGCTCCGATGGCGCCATAGCGTCTCTCCACTCCAGCGCTTTCCTGTTCCCTGAAGCGTTCGGCAGAGGCGTGCGCAACATGGCTGGGCAGCACCATGGATCTTTGTACATAGGACTCTCTCCCTCCCTCTCTCTCTCTCTCTCTCTCTCTCTTCGTTGAAAAATCCACTCGAGGATGGCCGCAACCGCGAGCCACAAGAGGACGGCAGAGTCCAACGAACGGTCCCAACAACATGTCGGTTGTTGGTGTCGCCGTTGTGGCTGTCACCCGAAGCGCTCAGCTGTGCTTCCAAATCGCTAGGTGCAAGATGAGGACGGTCGGAAGTGATCGTAAGCTTGAACACAAGCTCTAAGCTTACTATGTATGTACTAGATGTGGCGCGTCACCTTTTCTATGGGATGCATCCAAAATGCATGAACTCGGTCTTTGGAGATTGCAAGCTGTAGTGGAGTTAAACCCGCTGGACGACAATCTACACTGCACAGCCCGAACTCCACAAAAGAGAAAGGGCACACCGGGCGCATTGGATTTCTACTTGGTGGTCGAGCTCTGGCATTAAAAGTATCGTCGAGATCTCGGGTTGATCAGTGACAATCCAAATGGAACATCAAAGAACCAAAGACCAAATAGAACTTGAAGCATCCTGAGACCTGCTTCAAAGGGAAGACCACATTCAAAGTGCTACTTCAGCTGACCAGATCCGACGGGATGTTGTCCCTCTCAACTCGGCATCATGTCGGTGAGCTTTGGCAGCTCTCACCTTGCATTATTGTTGCACAAACACCTTGCGGTGTCCCTGAATTCCCAAGTCCACCGGCAAAAAACCTTGCAAGCAGGTCACGCTCCACATGTACCCAATCATTATGGCGCTCGGATGCCTCTGTCGATGCAGCGCGCAAGCGTGGTGGCGACAGGGCCGCCACCGCACGACGGAGGATGGACCGGAGCTGCTTGGTGGAGAAGCCACTGCCGTCACTGCCTTTGTGGGCAGAGGTAACCTATGGGTACCTAGCCCTTCTAAAGACTGCCAGGACAAGAGTAAAACCTGCACTGGTAGAGTGATTTTGGCTTCAAAACCTCGGCCTTCAATTCGAAGTCCTACATTTTTCTAGACTTGGAGCAGACAAATGCTAATCAAATTCCCGCACCTTTCATCTGCAGCAACTCTTCTTCCAAGAGCACCACATAGGCTCTTTGTCCTTCGGCTGTTTGATTCTTCCAGTGCTGGATGGCCCTCTGTAGCAAGCACACAGCCTTCCCACCAACACTAAGCTCCGAGTCCAGCCGTTGCCCGTTGAGGCGATTCGAAGCGACAGGACGTGGGGGGGGCTGCAGCCAAGATCTGCAGATCTTGAGACATGAGGCAGGGGCAAATGGTGACTCGGCCGGTCTGCAGCTGGTGCCTTGGGGTGAGCAGCTCAAACAAGAGATTCGACCCATAAAACACGATGTTAGTTCTTTGCTAGGTGAACAGTCAAAATAACATTAAATATGGCCATTATCACCCAACTCATTGGTGCTTGGTTAACCCCTTACACAGCAAACTCATCAGTAGATATTCTTGGGAGATCTTGCAAAATTGCACGTCAAACAAATCGGCCCTCGTGCAGCCCGGCCACAAGCACTGCTCCATGGCTCTCGCATTCGGCATCTTCTCGGTGACCCAGGCGCCAGCCCAAGACACGTAGCGCTGCAGCTGCTCCTCGTCCCAGCGGCGAAGCGTTTGGGCGAAGTGGCAGGAGCATCCGGCACACTGCAAAGACATCTCATGCGCGGACGGGCGAACGACAAAGGTGCATCTGAACGACTTGGAGTTCAAGGTTGCGAACGACTTCCACTTGTGAAAACCGATGTGCAATGCGTCAAGACAGTGAGGTGCTCTTCTGTAAGCCAAGACCATACCAACAAGACTATTTCTACTTGAGAAGGTTAGCAGTTGTTTCAGCCATGGCTTCATAATACCCACACTTGAGTTTGAGTAGCTGAATGAATAAGTTCCCAGCCGCTCTGCCAAGAATCACATGTGAGCACCTCTGTGCTTGAGCCATGGGCCTGCAGGGCAGAGACACTTGCACAGAATACGTCTCATTCTACCAAGGCGCGAAAGCTCCAAACTTGCTATCTCAAATCGATTGACTTGATAGTTGACAGTTTCAATGTCCTTGAAAAAGATCTGCTAAACCTGGTCAAAGTTGAAAATGCGCCTGAAAATACAGCAGGTAGAAGCTGGAACTCCCTTTAGAACCATGTCTCAAACATGTCCATCTCTCGAAGACCAATCTAAACCTCTTGAGAAGCGGATTAACTCTGTAACTCTTTAAGAACGGAGACCTGACCTCTCCGCTCTGTGTCACCTTCCTCCCTCCCCCGCAGCAGCGTGGCCACAAGTGCCCCAGCGCAGGAGCGTGGCCACGAGCTTCGACAGCTGCTCGGGGCGCTCGTGGCGGAGCCGCGCCAAGGGCTCCTGGTGAAGCGCGCCACCAGTGGATCCGGTGGATGAGGATGGGAGGTTGGTTGCTTGGTTTGCCTGGTTTGTTTGTTTGTTTGCCTTTTTTTTTTGGTTGGTTGGTTGGTTGGTTGGTTGGTTGGGTTGGGTTGGGTTGGGTTGGGTTGGGTTGGGTTGGGTTGGG